CACTTCATCAGCAGACAAGCAGTAAACCCAGTGAAAACGTGACCTTATAAAGATGTTGAATACAGCCGAGTTCTGGCTGCTGGTTAGTGTTGGGTCCCTAACATGGACCAGAACTCAGGAAAAAGGAACAATGAGCTTTTACACATATTAGAACAATATAAAACAGTACAACTGTGAGGTGAAAGATGAAAGGAAGTATGGCTTAGAGTCATTTTATAAAGAGAAATACAAACAATATTAAATCTATTTCTATTCATTTTTAAGTTTCTGACTACCTTCCTAAATAAAACCCAGTGCAACTATCTTCATTATTGATAAATAAATATCAATAATGAAGTGTGAACACATCACTATGGTAAAACATGGCAGCAGCATCATGCCGCTGGGACTCATTTCTCCAGCTTGGTCTGCTGTTCATAGCTGTGGTTTGGCTTTGTATTCATGTGAGGTCGGTCACTATGGCAACAATGTTTTCCAATTAATTTCAAAGTGGCTAAAACTTGAACAGATTAGGAGTTTAAACGTCTCGAAACAGATCTCCTACAGGAATCAGGCCTCGACTTTGGCTCTACCGTCTTATTATTCCTGTAATGCCAAATGTATCATATTTGATACATACGGTTTCTGAAATGTTTTGCATCTGACACCTTTTGCATAATTTAATGGTAAAAACTTTGCTCAAAATCCTATTGTACACAATCAGATATACCTGATAACAGCCAGTAGAAGACTACGCAAAAAAAAAACTTCACTTATCGCATAGTAATAAATTATTAATATCAAAATGTATTTCTGTTTTTTCTTTTTACATATTTTGTTTGAAGTCCAAATAAGGACTTTCATACCACTGTTTTGTTTTATTCTTGGATCGGGCTTTAAAGTATTAATACTAATATTAATACTAATATTTAATATTACTGCTCATCAGAGATGGCAAAAGTACTCACTTTCCGTACTTGAGTAAAAGTACAGATACTTGTGTTAAAAAATACTCTGGTAAAAGTGGAAGTACTGATTAAACTTCTTTACTCAAGTAAAAGTAACAAAGTACAGGCTTGTAAAGTTACTTAAAGTATAAAAGTAAAAGTAGAAACCACTTTTTTCATGCCGTTGCCTACATTTTAAATGGATGTCTACCAATAGGACTAGATCTCCGTTGTGTTCATTTTCAATCATCTCGTCGTCCATACTACTATGCTAACGCCACCGCCACCAAGCTGCAATGATTTGCCACGAATGAATACCGCCGAATCTGTCGATTCATCTTGTAGTGGTGTGTCAAATGCAACGTAGATTCCCATCCAATTAGATTGAATTTGGTATTGATGACGTGAAAAATAATAACGGTAACTCCATTGAAATGATTCAAAACTAAAGTAACGAGCCAATTTTTTAAAATGTAAGGAGTAGAAAGTACAGATATTTGTGTAAAATGTAAGGAGTAGAAGTAAAAAGTCGCCATAAAATAAGTACTAAAGTAAAAATATCAGAAAAATCTACTTGAATACAGTAACGAAGTATTTGTACTTCGTTACTTCCCATCTCTGCTGCTCATTTTATCTTTTCCAGAGTTAATTCCAGAGGTGAGTAGTAAACTAGTTACGTCTACTTCATTAACCTTTTGAGAACATTTTTTTTTTTGCATCATACTTTTGACTTTTCCTTGAATAAAATGAAGTATCTGTAGTCATACTCGAGTAAAATGATCTTTAATCAAGAATGACTTCTCAATGAAGAACAACCCTGTTTTACACAAAATGCAATGGTGAGACCAATGCATATAATGTATATCGAAGTGAGACTTCTCATTTGTACTCCATATTATTTGTTTTAATGTGTTTTTAAGCCAGATATCCTGCTGTGTCATTTGGAGATGTAGAGAAAATACACCAGTTTACTGCGTCATGTTACAGGAAATAATTGACCCTATTCCAATGTATGGATAATATTCTGTCAGTAATGACTTCATAGGGTTTCATAGCATAAAACATTTTAAAAATAAAACTTTTCCCCACCTGAAATGATTGATAAATCATGTATTTACTTTCACATTAAATCCAGATGTTATGATCATTAGTAAGTAAATCGGCTAACCAGTACTTGAGTCATTTCTTGACTGGCTAATTTTCTTTTAATGATGTAACTCTAACTCAAGAAGAATTTAGAGTTCTCTGCTTAAATATAAAATGCTCAGACTGTCCAGATTTCAATTTTCTTTTAAATATTGGTCGAGACTGCTGAAACTTAGGGTTGACACTAACGATTATTTTGCAGATCGATTAATCTGTCGATTTTTTTTTTTTCAATCAATTTATAATCAGATAGCAAAAGGTTTTTTACTAAATGAAACCAGGTGAAACTAAAGCTTTTTCAATTAAGGAGTTCTGGATAGAGCATATTGATGGATACAAATATTTTTCCCTATTGAATGCAAAATGATTTATTTTATTTAGAATTTTAAATGGGTTGCTCTAACTGGGTTGCTCTGTCAGCTAAAGGCATGTTTTAGAGTCTCTGCACCCCAGTTAAAGATTAAATTACCAAATTAGTTGCCGATTATTTCAATAATCAATTAATCATGATTAATTGGATTGTTTTAGACCTATTTAAAATAGACAATAGAAAACTTTTGGCACAGGAACACCTTGAATGGGCAGCAGATGAGCAGAGATCCACAACTACTAGAATCGGATCATCAACTGCAGCCATTTTTTCCTGTAAAATCCAGGATTCGTTAATTGGATGAAAGACTAGAAATAGTTGGATGTTTTATTTAAGAAAATGCATATTTTTTTCTTTTTTTAAATGCTAGTAATAAACAGAAGTCTATATTAAATATTTTTGTGGTGACAGCTAATAATTCACTTTTGAGCAGCTGATGCCATTTAAAACAAAGGTTTGGTAAGAAAATAGAGCCTTTCAAGTTAAACAATTTACTCTTGACTTTTACAAAAGTAGCTCTCTGTAGATTATCACAGGTGGTTACTTACAGGTGCTGGTCATAAAATTAGAATATCATGAAAAAGTAGATTGATTTCAGTAATTCCATTTAAAAAGTGAAACTTGTATATTATATTCATACATTACATACAAACTCATATATTTCAGATGTTTATTTTGTTTAATTTTGATGATTACAAATGACAACAAATGAAAATCTCAAATTCATCATATCAGAAAATTAGAATATTACTGAAGACCAATAAAAACAAAGGATTTATAGAAATGTTGGCCAACTGAAAAGTATGAACATGAAAAGTATGAGCATGTACAGCACTCAGTATTTAGTTGGGCCTCCTTTGGCCTGTATTACTGCAGCAATGCGGCGTGGCATGGAGTCGATCAGTCTGTGGCACTGCTCAGGTGTTATGATAGCCCAGGTTGCTCTAATAGTGGCTTTTAGCTCTTCTGAATTGTTGGGTCTGGTGTATTGCATCTTCTTCTTCACATACCCCATAGATTTTCTATGGGGTTAAGGTCAGGAGAGTTTGCTGGCCAATTAAGAACAGGGATACCATGGTCCTTCAACCAGGTACTGGTAGCTTTGGCACTGTGTGCAGGTGCCAAGTCCTGTTGGAAAATGAAATCTGCATCTCCAAAAAGTTGGTCAGCTGCAGGAAGCATGAAGTGCTCTAAAACTTCCTGGTATGTGGCTGCGTTGACCCTGGACCTCAGAAAACACAATGGACCAACACCAGCAGATGACATGGCACCCCAAACCATCACTGACTGTGGAAACTTTACACTGGACTTCAAGCAACGTGGATGAAGTGCCTCTCTTCTTTTCCTCCAGACTCTGGGACCTTGATTTCCAAAGGAAATGCAAAATTTACTTTCATCAGAGAACATGACTTTGGACCACTCACCAGCAGTCCAGTCCTGTTTCTCTTTAGACGCTTCTGACGCTGTCTGTGGTTCAAGAGTGGCTTGACACAAGGAATGCGACAGCAGAAACCCATGTCTTTCATACGTCTGTGTGTGGTGGTTCTTGAAGCACTCACTCCAGCTGCAGTCCACTCTTTGTGAATCTCCCCCACATTTTTGAATGGGTTTGGTTTCACAATCCTCTCCAGGGTGCGGTTATCTCTCTTGCTTGTACACTTTTTTCGACCACATCTTTTCCTTCCCTTCGCCTCTCTATTAATGTGCTTGGACACTGAGCTCTGTGAACAGCCAGCCTCTTTAGCGATGACCTTTTGTGTCTTGCCCTCCTTGTGCAAGGTGTCGATGGTCGTCTTTTGGACAACTGTCAAGTCAGCAGTCTTCCCCATGATTGTGTAGCCTATAGAACTAGACTGAAAGACCATTTAAAGGCTTTTGCAGGTGGTTTGAGTTAATTAGCTGATTAGAGTGTGGCACCAGGGGCCATCAATTTTGAACCTTTTCACAATATTCTAATTTTCTGATATGATGAATTTGAGATTTTCATTTGTTGTCATTTGTAATCATCAAAATTAAACAAAATAAACATCTGAAATATATGAGTTTGTATGTAATGTATGAATATAATATACAAGTTTCACTTTTTAAATGGAATTACTGAAATCAATCTACTTTTTCATGATATTCTAATTTTATGACCAGCACCTGTACATAGAGCTCAGTTTCTTAGCTCAGAAAATAAGGAGCAACACCAGAGAGCAGGTTTAAACATAAATCCTATTACTTAACATTCATTTAATGAATGTTTTACACCGTCTGATCAGTCGTTACATTTCTGAGTTTCAATCATTTTGCCTTTGGATTCATTTTTTTAATACCTTCTCCATCTTGTTTCGTCTCCTGAGGTGGAGACAATTACCAAGCAACCTGCAAAACACAACAAATGCAGGCCTGGAGCTCTGCTCCGTTTGTCCCTGCTGCTCCAGATGAAGAGATACGGGTATGTGTGTCTGTTTGAGAGAGGAGGGGCTCATAAATAAGAGTCCCTTCAGGCTCTGAGCGCCGTGCTGTAGTCACAAGATCTCAGCTGTAGATTTAGAGAAAAACAAGTCAATGAATCAGGTGTGAGGAGATATGAGTTTAATTTACTCCAGCCTGGATGGAAGCGACAGAAAAACCATTGCTGCAGAGTGGAGGAAATAATGCTTGGAAACACGTACAAGTTTAAACAAGTGCAACGGCGTTAAAAACACATTCATTTCTAGGTGTCTTGTTATAAAAAGGCATATGTTAGACAGATAAACCTGCACAGATGCCTTGCAGCAAAGTGAAATCCCCCATTTTGGCAAAAGAAAGAGAAAAAAATCACTTATTTAAACAGTTCTGTGTTTTTCTGTCACCACATGGACAAGTACAAACAGTAGAAAAAAAACAAAACACACAGTCTTTAGCAGCTGCACCCACTTATTAAAGACTTTCACAGAGCGTAACAACGTTAAGCTGGCTGCTCACAGACCGGACATTCAGAGGATCGGCACGGCGTTACAAAAATATACATCTGTGGGCATGCGCTGTGACAGCTCAGTACACGGGCTTCTTTACAAAGGATATGGTAAGAAAAACAGCAGACTCTGGGTTTATAAAAGCAAAGCCTGGGGAAACAAATGGCACTTATTGTCACTGTGGCAGAGAGCAATCTCCAGGGCAGCATTGGAGCCAAACACTCAAACAAACACTCCCACGGTTCCAGCTCCAGCCAGAGGATACACACAGAACAAAGACACAAGCTTTCACTGAAGATTCAAGCAACTCAATACTAGATTTATCAACTAAATATCTGTAAACCCATTTTAGTTTAAAATTAACTTAATCAGGAATGAACTAAAGTCACTGCAGCACCTAAAATATGAAGGTATTTTAGTATTTGAGCCAAATGAGGCTCGATGTGATGGATTCATGGTTCCAACGCAGCCTTTAGGAGTCTGGAATATGCTTTAAGTGTTTATTTAAGGTCTGAAAAAGTGATTAATAAAAATAACAAAATCTGGAAAACTATTCATGTATCCATCCATTTACTGATCACACATTCACGCATCATTTCAATCCAGAAAAAATGTGTAGGAACCCCATTTATTTACTATATATAAACCCCTTCAGCTGGAAAATGATCCTACGCTCTACGGCAAAACTAAAACATTGAATAAATGATATTTATGCGAGCAAAAGACAGGCATTCCTTAAAGAAAAACGATACAACTCAAAGGCATGGCACGGTTTGTGTGCTCTAGTTAAACTAATGGGACACTTGAGGCCTCTGCAGCTGCTGTGTTCTGGTCCTGGTTCTCCTCAGCAGCTTGGCTCACTGGTCCGGCCCACCACAGCGTCAGCGCGTTGTCCTGCCGGATCTCCTGCTGCAACTCTACGCCTCCGCCTCCTTCAGTGTCGGAGGCAGAGTCGCCCTCGCTGTCGGCGGGCCAGGGGAACTGCCGCTGACCGCTGGATGTGGCCAGAATGGGCATAAAGGGATGAAGACTGAGGAGAGCAGAGGGGACATTTCTGCATTAAATGTTATTGAATATTCCTAATTAGGCAAACATTCCTTTATTCCAGGTTCAAATTTTTTATTTTTTTTTCTATCCATATCCTAGAATGCATCACGGCAGGAGAGTTTATTGGTAATAAAAAAATATCTTCAATGTTAGAATTTATAGCAGTTGCTTGCCTGAAAATTTAAAACGTAAAAAAAAACCCTGCTCTTTTTCCAGTCAGTGAACATCTCATAGCTTAGTACCATCAGAGTGGATGCTCTCTAAATAAAGACAACTAAAACTTCTAAAAGAACTCATGATAAAAGCTGTAAACATCAAAAGGAAACCTTAATCTCTGCATCATCAGATCAGATCAATACGACGGACTTTTAGGGCCAGGCTAGATTTTTTTTTAATCGAGAATGCGATCGTCATGTTATGAGAATTAAGTCTTAAAATTGCGAGAATAAAGTTGCAATGAGAATAAAGTCATACTATTACGAGAATAAAAACCATGAACCGTTTTAGAAAGAAAGCTTCGACCATCCTTCAACTAGAATATGATGGCCGACCAGCACCACATAAAACAGCAACTTCAGTCTACTTTGTCCTTAACATTATGAGAATGACGTAACAATATTATCAGAATGAAGTCGTAATATTACAAGAATAAATAAAGTTGTATTTTATGACAACTCTCACAAGCCCTTTCTTCCCTAAAATGAGCAGTGTTGCATAAAGTACTGAAATCTCTGAGTCAAGTAAAAGTATAAGTACCTCTCCAAAATATGACTTTGGTAAAAGTCCAAGTCACTGACTGAAATGTTACTTGAGTAAAAGTCTTAAAGTATCTGAAATGGCTTGTACTTAAGTATAAGAATTACTGTAAAAATAGATGTACTCAAGTAATGTACTGAAAAGTATAAGTAAAAAGTAAGTGCAGTTTGAATGACATTTTTTTACATTTTGGTTAACTTTGAAGGTTAAATTCACTTAATATAATATACACAACCAAGTGTAGGATAAACTTAGACTGGCTTTGCGAAAGAGGCGTATCCTATTGGTGTTGATGAACAAGCCCTTCAAAGAAAAACAGACATTTGTCTAATAATGACAACCAAAGCTTAACGCACGTAATTAAGCACGTTTTTATAAAGTATAGTAATATCACTATGGCAAGCCTTTTTAACATAAATACGGTTTTGTCTGACCATCAACAATTACGTTCCAGATATCTTATAATACATTTTGACTAGACAAAACCACATTTTGAATATCCGGAATGGTAATTTAAGATATCTGTATTTACATTCTGATTAGGAATAATAATAATTCAAGGTATCTTAAATTACATTTTGCCTATTTGTCAAAATTCCTTTCAAGATATCTCAAATTACGACACCGGATTTATCATTTAAAGCGTCACACGCTGATTTAACTTTTCCTCCTTTGGATTAAACTGACAGTAAGGAATTTTTTAGGAATGATCCTCCTGTAAGCGCATTAAAAAGATCATTACACATTTTGACTAGTCAGAATGTCAATTTAGGAAATCTCTAATGGAAAAGCTGAATAATTCAAGATATCTTTAACTCATTTAGAGATATCCTGAAAGGAATTTCGAATAGTCAAAATTAAAATTCAAGATATCTTTAAATTTGTTTTGTCTAGTCATCATTTGCTTTAAAGATATCTATAATTTAGTTTTCACTAGTCAAAACTGCATATCTCCTATGCTAAAATACATTTAAGATATCTTGAAATATGGTGGCATTTGAGATATCTTTAATTAGAAATATGACTAGTCAAAATTAAAATCGAGATATCCAGAATTTACTTTATGACTAGTCGTAATTTAATTGTAGATATCTGAAATGTGTATTTCAGATAGTCAGTAATTCATTCTGCATATCTTAAATTGACGTCTCCATACAAGTTAATGGTAAATCTGACGTCATTTCGACTAGTCAGAATGTAATTAGAGATATCTTAAATCGCTAAAACCTCTAGTCATAAAACAATTTGAGATATCTTGAATGTAAAGGCGGTGCAACCAAATTTATGTTAAAACGGCTTGCCATAAAAGCTGAATAATTCAAGATATCTTTAATTCATTTAGAGATATCTTAAAAGGAATTTCGAATAGTCAAAATTACAATTCAAGATATCTTTAAATTTGTTTTGTCTAGTCATCATTTGCTTTAAAGATATCTATAATTTAGTTTTCACTAGTCAAAACTGCATATCTCCTATCCTAAAATATATTTAAGATATCTTGAATTATGGTGGCATTTGAGATATCTTTAATTAGAATTATGACTAGTCAAAACTAAAATTGAGATATCTTAAAATTATTTTATGACTAGTCGTAATTTAATCGTGGATATCTGAAAAGTAATTCAGTAATTCATTCTAGATATCTTAAATTTTCGTCTCCATACAAGTTAATGTTAAATTTCGACTAGTCAGAATGTAATTAGAGATATCTCAAATAGGTATTTTGACAAGTCAAAATATAATTAGAGATATTTTAAATCGCTAAAACGTCTAGTCATAAAATAATTTGAGATATCTTGAATATAAATGTGTTATAAACGAATTTATGTTAAAATGGCTTGCCATAATACCACATCCATTAAATTAACTGTAAGCTTAACTAATGTTCATCTGCTCTCTTTTTTTCCCCAGATTAGAAAATACTAAACCAATAAACTTCCACCTAGGAAAACTAATTTCACCGGCCTGCTCTGATACTTAAGTTAGAACCTGCAGAGAAACGAGACGCTGATCTCACTGTAGGGTCCTGTTATGTCTTTTGTTTTGGTGAAAGATAATTGGAGGCTCCAAACAGTAAAACACAGCAGGACCGTTAGTCTTTAGAACAGTAAGAGAGTCAATAAATGAAAGTCATTTATCCAAGTTGGACAGTTCCCTTTATTCCTTCTAATCATCAACGCTTTTGTTCTGCTCTTAATTTGCTGAAGTGCGATACAATCATTTATGCTTCTTGCAACCCCAAAGTTTAATTTTGAGCGGTTGAATTTTTTATTTCTTTGCTGTGAAGCTTCTTTGTCTCTGTGGTGGGTAACTAGGACAAACTTAATTAACAGCAGTCAGCAAAAAGTTTCAGGAGGAAGTGGGTTATTGCATCTGTTTGAGTCAGAGGTCTGGTTCTTCAGCAGCGCTGTGAGGTTATCATACCTGATGCCGTTGGTGCAGTCCCAGTGGGCCTTGAACCTGATCTGTGGCTGCAGGAGCTCTTCGGTTCCATCAGGACGCGCCGTGTGAGTGTCCCACACGGACACCACTCCCTCCGTATCTCCGCTCAGCAGGTATGTGCCTGATCTGAGAGGAAAGAATAATGGTACATAAAGGGAAGAGCAGCTAGCAGGGTTGTGCTTTAGGAGGATCAACTGACTGGTCCAGGTCAAAGTAGATGCGCTGATTCGTGGTCACGTTCCTCTTGAGGGAAAATAAAACTTTCCCAGTGTCCCTCAGGTCCCAGCACAAGATTTCTGGATCCTGGCAGAGAAATCACATATTTACTGATTATTTTCAACTCACCAGAGTTCACTATTACTCCATTAATATGACCTAATAACCACACGCCGACCTCATACCAACCTCTAACCTTTTCGTAGTTATCCGATTACTATTTTTCATACACTCAGCCAACAAAAATTAACCTGTTAACCTTACAGACAGGTTAACAGGTGGTTCGTAATAAGTTAGCATCCATACGTTTTGGGGCATCTAGTTTAGTATGGTTAGGCTAGTAAGTTGTGACTACTGTCTTGCAATCTGACTGCAGATGTGTGATGGCGGCTATATTAAAGTGTGTAGCGTTGTCTTACGTAGCGTGGTGGCGAAGCGGTAAGGCAGCAGGTGTGCTGTGGTATAACGAGAGGCTATTTAAAGGCTGGACCGACTGTTTAAAACCCAAACATGATGTAAAAACTAGACTATCTCAATAAAACCACCCCAGCCTCTCTTGAAAAACGCATACAAAGCATAAAACAAGTATATAAATAAAATGATTAAGGTCTATATCCCCTCATAGGGGGTTTTATTCTAATCTAGTGAAAATACTATAATACTGTGACACCTAATTATGTTACTCTACACTTATAGCACAAGCTTTTAGACCCAGTTTCTCATTTATTAAGCTTTATTTGATAAGTGAAAACTTTATAATGGTTGATTTCAGTCCTCTTTTTGTCTTTGGGTCAAATTTGAACTAGTCCAACTCAATAACTGTAATTTCTAGACACCTCAAACCTAGATTATATTTCAAGCTAATAGCAGAAGGTTTATACCCAGTTTCTGATTTGTGAAAGCGTAATCTCACCATATGTTAATGCTTTACTTTTGCATTTAGATCTCCTTAGGTGTAGATGGTCAGTATGTCCAGTTGGGTTAGAGGTTAGAAAAATGACAGAAGAATGAGGAGCATCAAAAGCAGTTGGCTAAAAAAGAAGAAGATCTCAGAGTATCTCATAGCTGAAAGACTTTATTTTGCAGCGAGTGGGTTTGATGCACATGATAGCTGACAGGAAGAGTTGTACTAATCTTTGGCTACCTTCACACTGCAGGAAAAGTTTAACCACATTCATTTTCCTCATATGCAAGTCATAGCACTCTGAACAGTCCAATTCTGATCTTTCACCTAAAAAAAACAAAACAAAGAAATTTGTGCCACGTCCATGCTAAAGCTGATACAAATCTGATTTAAAAGCATCTGCAGTGTGAATGCAGCTGTTGTATTTCATCTGACGTCACGATTCTTACTCATGCATCCAGTACAGCAGTCACTGCTCCACAGAAAGTCATTGGAACAAATTCTGCTCTTTAACCATTCTCTGCCTTCTTATGTGACCATAATATCGTCAAAATTCCAACATTTGTCATTACTTCCTTAAATTTTTTCTGTTTTTTAAGTCAAAACAAGGCTTTGTTTTAGGTCCACTCTACAAAGCCTCGAACTCAACTCTAAAGCTTCCTTAATGGGAAGCAAAGCGTCTTTTAAAACTTTTTTGGAATGACTAAGACCTGGATGACTAAGAATCTTCACCAACGTTCTGCTGTGTGACGTCTACACCGGCGTCTGTGAATGCAGGTAGTTGTGGGGCTTAGTAATAGCCTGAAGGACCATGAAAAAAAAAAACATAAAAAAAAATCTGAACAGAGTATCAAGAGCTGAAACACGGGACAGAATCAGTTTAAAAATATCATTAATAATTTGAAGGTCTGCTCTTTGTTTTGAACTCTCCTGTAAAGAACTCCCACCACAACAGAAACATACTTTTAGCCTATTATGAGTCATCTTTAAATTAGGGTCTTTATGTGCTATAAGTGTAGAATATTATTACAATCAAAGTGTCATTTTTGAACTCAATTGGTTCTGATCTAGGCCAGATGCAGAAACAGATGTTTTAAGACATTTTATTGAACTTTTACAAATCAGATAATGGTTTCAGAAATCCCAAAGCGGGTTTAATTAGTGTAGCAAACTCCACCTCTGCACACAGATGCATTAGGAATAACAAATGTGTATCGACAACATTTTATGTTGGGGTTTTTCTTAATTGGCAAGAATTCTTTAATTATATATACAAAAAATTATATATACAAAAAAATAAAACACTGTGCAAAGCTATGCTTTTAGCTTAGTTAGCTCAAGGTAACAGTGCAGTGGGATTGTTTGACTGCTGATTGGATAAAAGCTGACACGTGGGCTTAAGCTGATCCAGCTCCTCCTAACCTTTTAAACTGCTCCTGTAGCACCTGTATTTAGGTGGGCCATCATATCCTGGTTTGTTTACAGCTGTGCTACACTTTTTCCATCTTCAGATAAAATGATCAGTCACTCTGCGAGACGTTCACGGCCCGCGATAGTCCTTTCTAATCTAAAGCCCCTCCACTGAGTTCCCTGGTCTCCTTGAAACCATTTATTCACTAATAAACGTCCACAATCTTCACAGAACCGCCAGAAAGTTGAATTACACACAGCTCATCTCTCTTTACTAATAAGTTGCATTTTAAAGGCAAGTAGATGATATAGAATTCATTTCTGGGTATCAGAGCAAAAGGCGGCAAATAAAATGTTCTAATTAGCATTTTTTATTTGCATTATAACACATCATCTTCCCTCCAAAGCTCAAATATGCATCTTTTATTGTTGGTCTAACAAACTTTAAAAAGTCCACTGAATCTTGTCCTAACATTTGAAAAAGCTTACCCGTCATTTCAGATTTTTTTATGTTGTTTATTTTCGTAAAGATTCCGGATACCTCGCTGCTAAATTAAAGCTGAACTGAAGCCCTTCTAATCGTAGTGCCCCTAAACCTCCAGCCATGCCACCAGTGGCAGCGTGTTTGTGGAAACTCGCCTTAATTGTCTGACTCAATCTTGGTGTTTACTAATATGTTTGAACACGCTGTCATAATTAACAGTGGCCCGCCGTGAAAAAGGGTTTGTGGGCGACTTTAATTGTGACCTCACTGTCAGAGGATGCTGTTACTTTGGTTTCTGTGCGGATAAAGCTGCCAGATTCCCAGACACCTGAGACAAGTTATCATATTTAGAAAAATAATTATCTGCTTAAAGCCAAAGCTGCTGAAAACTAGACCAAAACAACCCTGTAACATGAGATTCATTATGCGGCTTTAAGGTTTTGTGACACTCTGTGAAACATAAATGTCCTAATTCCTAATTGGATGCTAAGAAAAAAAATGACTGCATGAAAAGCGGGCGGGTGATTTCCAGCCGGCCTCTTCTCTGCATGTTTCTGTGTTTGTGTGCAGACCTTTCGACCGCCGGTGAACAGGTAGTTGCCGTCGGGGGAGAACAGCAGATGGGTGAGGCCTCCGTTGTGGCGGGTGGGCAGCAGGGCCAGCAGCGTGCCGTCCTGACAGGAGTACAGTCCGGCGCAGCGGGAGTACGAGCCGCAGGCATACACCGACTGACACGGGCTGAAGGCGAAGCAGGAGATGATGCCATTCTGGCCTCTTTTCTTCACTGAGAAACACATTTAGCAGAGTGATTAACATGTTTTCACCGGGGACCATTTCTGTACAGATGGATTCAAATCAGACCTCACTGCATGTGCACGCTCAGTCCTAATGCTGTCTGCTTTAGATCATCAAACACTGATCCTGCTTTCTAAAACTATTTAAATCCAAACTCAACCTTATAAAAACACACAGAACTACTCCATACCGTCATTATTTGTTAAACACAGAGGAAGCCAAGCAGCAGTAACTCAACAGTCGTGTTTTGGATGACTTTATCAGTCCATCGCTTCGCTGTTGAGGAATTTTGGCCGACTTTTTATAAACACTGACTCGGCTTGTTCTGGTTTACAGACGAGCATTTCTTCCCAGCTGGTTTAAGGCACCAACACAGCCTCGTACTCAGATTCAGGTCTGAACTTTGACTGGGCCATTTCTGTCCTCCTGTTGTACCTTTGCTGCTTCGCTGTGTAGACGACCTCGATGGAGCAAACCTCAGACTCATTTATGAATCTAAAATACTTTGGTACCAAGACTCCTTTCTGGTTGCCTCCATGACTGCGAGGTGAGCAACTCCTGAGGCCTAGCCCAAATCACCAGCCCACCACCGCTGTGCTTTACAAATGGCTTTCTTCTGTTTTGTTTTGTTCTTCTCCCAAACAGCTCAGGCTGATATAGCCCAACCTCTCTTCTTTGGATTCCTCTAAAAGTCTTGCATTTCAGTGTGAGGATCTTTGCAAACCAAAGGCAGGAGGTAATATTCAGCATGATTCAAATCTTCTCAGTATCTCATGTCGATAATAATTTAACTTTATTGATCTCACAATAGAGAAATTTAACTCTGCATTTAAGCCATCCCCTTATGGAGCAGTGGGCTGCCATTGTGCGACGCCTGGGGAGCAATTAGAGGTTAAGGGTTTTGCTCAGAGAACCAGAGTGCAGGCTGTGGGGATTGAAAAGGGTACTTGTAACGGTCACAGAGCACAAGTGCACTGCTCTAACCACAAAGCAAACACTCCCTTAACCTAACTGTTACCCTGAATAATCATAGCTCTAGACTTATAAACGGATATTGTCTAATTTTTTTCCCCCCGACAAAATATTTGATCTTAAACATCCAATATTCTCTAAATGCGAGCCAAGTTTTAGATTAGGGCTGAACGATTTTGCCAAAGAGGAAAATTGCTAATTTTTAAACCAATATCGTGATTTTATTTTGACTTTACTTTGCATTAACCACAATTCTGTAAATGTTTCACTCCAGGGTTTAGGTTATCATGACCTTGAGAGCATCATCAGAGTCCATTGCTGCAGGACTTAACTGTGAAAAAGATCTTACTTCTACTATCTTGCATGAATCTGTGTGCTAGCTGCATCTTTATCTGTCCGTCTGTACGGTTCCAGCATATTAGCGCCGCCTTAAAGGGGAACACTGTTCTTTTTTATATTGGGCCCTTGATTTTACGTTATTACATCATGTTCTACTTGCCCATATGAGGTTTGTGTCATGTGGAGCTGTTCTGAAGATATTCCCTTGGGTTATATCCAAGTAACATCTTCCTATGGGCAACAACTTGAAGGCCCAAACCGAACTGTTTATAATTGATCATTTATGGTACGCCAGCATTATATATAATAACATGTAGGCGAATCACTGTCCCCCAGACATCAAAGGTTATATTTTTTATATTTATATGTTTTAAAAACAAAGTGGCGTATGTATGACGTCATCCGCGCATCCGGACTGGAGTCGTAACAGGCAGCCCGGGCCACAGGCGGCTACGCTCTACCCCTTTTATTCATTCGGCTAGCTCAGTGTTTTTCAATCCTGGTCCTCAAGGCACACTGCTCTGCATGTTTTGGCTGTTTCTGAGGTTCAGCACACCTGATTCAGATGATTGCAGTTCAGCAAAGCCTGATAATCTGCTATCAATTGATAACAGGTGTGTGAAAGCTGGGAACCATCTAAAACCTGCAGGGCAGGGAGCCGTGAGGACCAGGTTTGAAAAACACTGGGCTAGCTAATCTGAATTGTTCAATTCCATTTGGAGAGTGAGATCATCTGTGGTAGTAGCACTAGACATCTTCCAGGCATGTGAGTGAAACTAGCAGCAGTTCAGTGGACAGGATGAATGAACGGTAGCCGGCGCACGTGGATGACATCATACACGAGCCGCTTCGTTTTTAAAGATAGTTGTGCCTTCAAGTCGTTGCCCATAGGAAGACGTTACTTGCATGTAACTAATGGAATATCTTCACAGCAGCTCCAAATGACACAAGACTCATATGGGTGAGTAGAACATGATGTAATAACGTAAAATAAAGGGGCCGATGTAAGAAAAAAAAACGGTGTTCCCCTTTAAGGGTGAGAAATGCAGCCATTTCCTGTTATTGTAAAATAACCAGAATCGAGCGCCTCTACGATTTGAAAATTGCATTTTGTGAAATTGTGATTATATTGCAAATTAAATTAATTGCCAAACCCTACTTTAAACTGAGGACTGAAGAAGTTTAGGACTGATGATTAACTGAGGCCAGCAGACTAGGGTCTGTTCCTCAGAGCACAGCCTCAGATTTTAGGGAGGGATTTCTCCAATTAATGCTCTTAAGCTTCCTCCATTCATCAATAATCTTTGTCAATCTAAAGCAGATTTTATAGCGTTTGGATATGACCTTATAACCTTTCAGGATTGATGGGTGGTGATCGTTGCTTCCCTCATTGCTAACGTCTTTCTGCCTTAGTGCCCTTTATGTTCCAGAGCAGCTAAATGGCAAAACTGCTTTCAGAGGTGCTCAGGCTTCCTGACGATACTTCAAACAAGTGGATTTTTAATAACTTGCTCTTAAACCCAACAAAAGCAGCAAGGATGCACAGAGCTTTTCCCTTTTGGCTTCATCTTTGTGCAGCAAATAATGAAAGTAGAATCTCTGTTCAGGTTCAAGCGATGGCAAAGATATGATGCTGTGATAAGTTGAAACCTTGGAACTGAAATAGGATGCATTCTTTATGCTCTCTTATCACGTGTTCAAGTCCTTTCTACTGAAAGACAAAAGAAAAAGAAAGTCGTCCATTTTCCTGCACATTTTGGTTCATATAACGATAAGAAACGAGTTCAGGAGAAAAATAAAAAGCAGCCTTTGACTTAAAAAAACAAAAAAGAAATACATTTGCTGACATTTTCATAAAGTGATTGTTCTGGAACAGGATTCTTCGTTCCATTTAGTAAGAAAAAAAGAAATCTGCATCCATATAAACAGACTGCTGTTAATGTCAGCACATCTAAACACTCTTTGAACAAACAGAAGCAGTTTGAAGAGCGTGACAGAAATGAGGAATTCATCACAGTAAACATCTCGCTCTCTTTAGCTGTTGTCTGAAGAACAAAAACTCTGCTTGTTGGTTCGTTCAAGGAGACTTCAGCCTGAGAGACGTGACAGCGAGCTGTCAAACTGCTGCCGCTTACTGAAAACAGCAGACAAATGACTTCAGACAAAGTGGTTTTAGGTTTTTTTTTTCTCTTTTTAAAGACCGCATCAGTTATAACTTCTATGAGGATTTTGTTTTCTGGGAATAATGGCCTGAATATTGCCTTGTAATTTCATTTGATTTTTCTTCACCAGAGCAGCTTGACATGTCTTTAACAGCAGAGGTTTCACGCTGTGAGTAATTATTATAATAACTAGCTTTAATAGGAGGGGTATGCTAAAATATAAATCATACTTTAAATCTCTTTTAATTCCAAGTCAAAACAAAACAAAAATGAGGTTATGCAAAAAAAGCATTCACTGTTTAGCCGTTGATTTAAGGTAAAAATCCCTCGGACTGACCCACAGTTGGACGTTCCTCGCAGTCTCTGCCCGGACGCTCTGTGCAGAAGACTCGGACCATTTTCTCGAAGCCGCAGTACAGCTGTTCCCCGTCCGGCGAGAAGCAGAGCGAGTGGGCCGCCGTCAGCTCGTCCAGGTGGTTGTAGGGCCGAAAGCTGGCCCGCACTTTGCCACAAAACGCATCCCACACATGGACGGGGTTGTCACGGCTGCTGCTGGCCAGGCTAGGGAAGAAAGGCAGTTTTAGAAGTAATAAAAACAGCCTTTCTGTATGAAAAAAACAATTAAACAGGTTTTGTATAACGCCTACATTAAAAAAGGTTCTAATTAACTGAAAGATATTTTTATTAACATTAAAACCAAAAATGTGGAATGTGTAATCCCTTTGACATGAAGACCCTCTTTTTTTTGGAAACATGTCACAGGATTGGATAAAAAAAAAAAAAAAAAAGATCAATTTTTGTTTAGTCTTAATTGTGGCCAGTAAGAAATGTATAACTAAAAAACGACTTTCACAGGAAGTACCAAATCCTACAATATGGTAATTGGCTTCTACTTATATGTCAGGAGACTTGACCAAAGCCCTTTACACTACATTCAGTCGTTCACGCACACAATGATGGTGGCAAAATACATACATAGCCATGGCTGCCCTGTGGGGCTCACTGACAGAAGCAAGGCTGCCGTACACTGGCGCCACCAGGCATTCTGACCACCATCAGTAGGCAATGTGGGTAAGGTGTCTTACCCAAGAACACAACGACACTGAGAGACAGACAATCCCCCGGTTGCAGACCGAACTCCTTCAGCCGACGCCACTGTCGCCCGATGGTGAGAAATAGCATCGGATATTTACAGAATAGAAGAGATGGCTGCATAGCCTAGTAAACTAGCCCCAATCACCAGCGGCCAAAATCATTTTTGCCTGCGAGTGGTCTAGCCTCGATCAATGCCCCAGGCCCTAGAACTGGAGGGCCAATCACAACGCAGAGAAGTGTTTTGAATTTTTGGATGCATAGCTGCGCGACGCTAGAGAAAGCACAAGGAAGATGGAATAAACTCTTGAACAGTTCTCGTTTGACTCTGTTCTCGTTTTGGAATCAGTTTCGGAAGGATTAGACTTGGAGATTTTCTTTGAGACGTGAGCAGGAAGAGGCTCTACGCTCATTCATTTTTAAGGATATATTCACTGTTTTACCAACAGGCTGTTTGCTTACACTACCCCACCAGCTTTCTGTCGCGCTTACTATGTCAGTCAGCTGCGCTCATTGGTCAGACGTTGGCCAATAAACACAGACACGGTTTGTTCTCATCAACAATCTTCTGATGTCTCATTCATCGGGGCAAGACTAAATTACACATTTAATCTCACATTTAGTGTGGTTTATTAGGCTAATGGCTGCCTATATAAAACCAGAATTGGTTCATGACATGCTGAGAGAAGTGGGTTAAATATACACATTTAAAAAGGCCCTGCTTTATTTATTAAATGTATATTACTTCGGCGATAGCTAAAGGTTGCATCACTAAAATGTGTTGAAAACGTATAAATGATCAGTAAAAAAAACAAAACAAAAAGAGATGGCTGCAGCCCATCTACTGGATACGTTGCGTTTACTAACTAGTTAAGCTGCAGCCATTCCTGTTATTTGTGCATTTTTTTACCCTTAGACTGAACTTTTCAATCATCTGGAGCAGCAGTTTAAACGCAAATGTTTTTGTTGTTTTTTTACCAGAGCCTATTCAAGTATAAAAATGAATTTCTTTTATTTTTTCTAGGATATTTCAATTTTTTTATTGCAATTTGGATCCAAATGAATAAAAAAGTATTAAATACTAATAATAAGCCTGTTTATTGTGATCTAAATTACATCAGACAGGCGTGTAGATTGATATTGTGCTTAATAACCAGATGTATTTAAATAAATGCAATCCTTTTATTTAGCTTTAAAGGTTCGCTTTAAAGAGAAAAGCATTTTAAGAGTTAATTTAACGTAAAACAATCAGCTTTTATAATTCCAGCAAAGTTGTATCCTCAGATCAAGTGAAGCCAGTTACTGATTCCAACAATCATTCCTTAGGATCATTTTGTCCCATAATTCCTCAGTTTTCCTATTAGGAAACATCTCATGTTTTAATTCCACTGCTAAACATCCCTGTGACATTATTAATTATGATCAACCATCATATTATGAATCTTCCCCATGTCCCCACCAACCGCCGTGACCTTTAGCATCTCAGCCACTATAAATATACATCAAGTGTGGAAAATCAAGGGCAGTGAAATTCTAACCAGGAGGTCAAACATACTACTGCATGCAGATTTTGAAAACTCAGCAACTGAAACATAATATCTTACCAAATAGTGGTATCTATCTATATAGTCCATACAGCAGTAGTGAACATGCTGAAAGTGGGATGACAGTGATTTGATATATTATACAACTCCAAAGATAAGCCAAACATTTTATAGCCAAGTAGACTGCAGGCCTGTTAGATATTATTGGTAGTTTATTATTAGAAAAACCTTCATGAAAATACTCAATGATAGTGTATGAATTATTTGAATTTTTTGGAAGTGCGAATGCAGAATGTCTACTATCTTAGAAAAGGTCTGATTGGAAACAATCAAACCCCCAAGAGAGTGAAACAACAAAGGGGGGAAATAAGCAGGACTGAAGCTGCAAAAAATATCAGTATCGATATCAATTTTTATGGTTTTATGGATTAAAACTCTGCTTGCAAACAATATCGTGGGCTTTATTCCAGTGCATTGTGAATATCTAACCCATGTTTCAACAGCTCAAAGAGAGCTTGAGAAATTACATTGATGTAAAAGAGAAGGATCAGTAAATGTTCCTTTACTAGTGATAGAGAAAAAAAATGTATAACATGTGGAACATCTGAAATCATGCTATCAAGCGCTAGATAGAGGAAAAATTCCCCCCAAAAAAGTGACTAATGTAAATAAACTCACTGTCTATAGTGGTAATGAAAATCACACTTCCCTCAAATGAAAGAAAGCTGCTGCTATTGAAATGTAATAAGCTTTCTAGATCATCTAGATCTTTTAGCTGGAAAACAAAAAACTGTGGAACATCCTGGATAATCAAACATGTACCAGGACAGGTCTCTAGCTAATGCTGCTCACGCTGTGAGTGTACGAGATGCTCAGTGTAGTGAAAACAGGACAGACGGAAATGCTCCCTGGAAAATGTCTTCTGCCTTTTAGGGGGTTTCTGTTTAAAGCAAAGATCCCGTATTGCTTCAGAACTTGTTTTTGGCTGCAGCTACTCTGCTTCTTATTCCGGCTAAAAACTAATACGAAACACGCTTTACTCTGGGCAGGCAGAAATGTAAAAAGGTTAGGCAGAAATAAATAGCGGCGAAGAAATAACTAGGGTAAAAAAATACAAAGGAAGAATAAAACACAAAAATATTATAACATGCACACAAATAAATACTTAAAAATATAATTAAAAAATAAAGTTGAAGATTATAAAGGGCAAAAGAAATAAATAAGGTAAATATTACAAAGGCAAATAAATAAAGAAGCTAATTAAAAGATAATTTAATTTTTACTTACATTTATTTGTTGGTTGTATTTTTGGTGGCAATTATTTGTTTATTTATTTATTGAGCATTTATTTACTTACACTATATTGCCAAAAGTATTTGCTCACCCATCCAAATTATTGGAATCAGGTGTTCCAATCACTTCCATGGCCACAGGTGTATAAATTCAAGCACCTAGGCATGCAGACTGTTTTTACAAACATTTGTGAAAGAATGGGTCGCTCTCAGGAGCTCAGTGAATTCCAGCGTGGAACTGTGATAGGATGCCACCTGTGCAACAAATCCAGTCGTGAAATTTCCTCGCTCCTAAATATTCCACAGTCAACTGTCAGCTGTATTATAAGAAAATGGAAGTGTTTAGGAACGACAGCAACTCAGCCACGAAGTGGTAGGCCACGTAAACTGACGGAGCGGGGTCAGCGGATGCTGACGCGCATAGTGCGAAGAGGTCGCCAACTTTCTGCAGAGTCAATCACTACAGACCTCCAAACTTCATGTGGCCTTCAGATTAGCTCAAGAACAGTGCGCAGAGAGCTTCATGGAATGGGTTTCCATGGTCGAGCAGCTGCATCCAAGCCATACATCACCAAGTGCAATGCAAAGCGTCGGATGCGGTGGTGTAAAGCACGCCGCCACTGGACTCTAGAGCAGTGGAGACGCGTTCTCTGGAGTGACGAATCGCGCTTCTCCATCTGGCAATCTGATGGACGGGTCTGGGTTTGGCGGTTGCCAGGAGAACGGTACTTGTCTGACTGCATTGTGCCAAGTGTAAAGTTTGTTGGAGGGGGGATTATGGTGTGGGGTTGTTTTTCAGGAGCTGGGCTTGGCCCCTTAGTTCCAGTGAAAGGAACTCTGAATGCTTCAGCATCCCAAGACATTTTGGACAATTCCATGCTCCCAACTTTGTGGGAACAGTTTGGAGCTGGCCCCTTCCTCTTCCAACATGACTGTGCACCAGTGCACAAAGCAAGGTCCATAAAGACATGGATGACAGAGTCTGGTGTGGATGAACTTGACTGGCCTGCACAGAGTCCTGACCTCAACCCGATAGAACACCTTTGGGATGAATTAGAGCGGAGACTGAGAGCCAGGCCTTCTCGTCCAACATCAGTGTGCAACCTCACAAATGCGCTTCTGGAAGAATGGTCAAAAATTCCCATAAACACACTCCTAAACCTTGTGGACAGCCTTCCCAGAAGAGTTGAAGCTGTTCTAGCTGCAAAGGGTGGACCGACGTCATATTGAACCCTATGGATTAGGAACGGGATGTCACTTAAGCTCATATGTGAGTCAAGGCAGGTGAGCAAATACTTTTGGCAATATAGTGTATGTATTTATTTTTAAATATGGCAGAGTTGGTCCTCTATAGAGCTGTTCCACAGTTTGATAATGCAAGCGCTTCTAGATCAAACCATTTACTAGTGGTAGAATCAACCAATCCAGACCAAAGTCTAGCTGATCTGATGAAAACTGAATTTTTTATTCTAACCTGACAGAGTTTACGCTGTTTTATAATTGACAATGTGGGGGAAAGAGCAATAATTTTTATTGTTTTCGACACAGGAAACTAAATATAAGTGTATAGGGGGGTGGCGGCCTAGTGGTTAGGGCATAGAGCTTGGAATGTGGAATGATTGCAGCCCACTGC